ATGTCATTAAACTCGTTCCAGTCCTCATCCCCTTTCTCCATGTCACGATACAAGGGTTCAAATTTAGGGCCACCTATAAAAGAACACCATATACATCAACACATAGTAGGTACAAGAATTGTATCTAATCTACATGTCACCTAGATTAAATGAAGCCTGAACTTAAGACACACACATGCATCTACAATCAAACTAAGAACTTTTAATAGCTACATCAAAGATGAAGTAATACAAAATTCGATATGTATGCCCAAATTCACAATTTCAAAGGGCAGATGATCATACTTAGTCCATGTTTGGAAGAAAACCTTCTTTTTTTAGGAAATTCATTTGCAAATTCAAACGTAATTCAACTAAATGATAGTTAAAATCCTACCTAAAAATAATAGAAAGTGAGCTCATATCAAATTTCATAGAATAGGAGTGTTCTAATTCCACATATAGAATTTCATATGACTTCACTTTTGATGAAATTTGGAAAAAAATTGTCTCATTTTCACATTAAATTCTGTATTAGAGCAACGTTTATTCTCTCGATATAATTTGTATCTCTCTTAGTTAACCGTGGATATGCAAAAGAATGTTTTGCGTACGCTACACTCAAACTTGATATTTTTCCAACCCCAAGCAGTTTTGTCTGATCTGCAGATGAACACCCTACTGTACATTCAAATTAAAGATTCTAACTAAATGCATTACAAATCTACTTCACCATTCCATGCATGCAGGATGGATGTAGGACCTGTACTTATTCATAGGAGACTGCAACTCAATAAATGTAAAGACAAAAGCTAACATACATAACTAAATAGACTTAAAGATCAGCAAGCATACCTGGTATACACATGTTCAATGCTTTTGCTGTAAAAAATGACTGCATGTCAAACAAGTAGAAATAATTGCGGTCAATCAAATCAAAAAGCAGTTGGCCTGCAAGCCGATGGAGAGTTGCCATGATTGGAAGGGATAGATGCCATTTCCTATAACTTGGGCCATTGATAAGTTTTGTTTTCACCAGAGGCTTATGGTCATAAAACCACGTATATACAGCAGAATCTTCTTCTTCATCCAGCTCTAACTGAATTGGCTCTAGGGGATCTACATCTAACAAATTATCCGCATAGTCTAATGGAGGCTCCTCATCATCAAATGGAGGAAACCGCATTCTTTTGAAGTGCCGACGATCCCGCTTCTCCCTACGCATCATGATCCACATGGTACCCCACTGTCAAATGAAATTGAAAGCCAACTATTAGTTGCAAAACCCAAATAGAAGGCCAAATATCAGCCAAAAATTGAAATATGCATACAGTGCCTGTCTCAAACTAAAAAAAAAATATGAGGGGCAAATGAGAAGAGAGAAAGAAACTCTTCATACCTGAGCCAAATAGATAGGTTCAACAACCCATGGTATTTCATTTACAAATGTAATGGCTCCGGTGATATGATACAAGACCCTCACATCGCGGACCTGTAGTAAGATAAAAAATAATGACTTATAGGCATAGAAACAGATTAAAAATAAATGCAATTAAAGTGAATTTTTGGAAGAGGGGATAATACTTGTTCCCAGGGCATCGGCATATTTTCAAGGAGCTTATAAACTGCATGAGGAATGAATTTGAGGGCTCCAAGATACACACGTTTGTCATGACGATATTTCTTAGAAGACATGTCGCCATGGTCTCTGCAAAAGAGAGCATAAAATTTTCTCATAACCATCATACAAAAGAGCTAAACATAGCTAATGACAGTTCCACTTCTCTCATATATCATGTTACTTATAAAAACCTAAGATCCATTAGATCAACAATATAAAATATGAAAAAAGGTACTTTAAGCTGAAAATACTATACACGACCAGTGGTAAATTAACAAAATCTCATCCAGGCTAAAGTAAATCATTAAAGATGCTGGTCGTTCTATATAAGAAATAACCAACAAACTTTAAGAAAGTAGAAATTCAGGTTTACCCACAGATAAAGCAGTGATAATAATTTTTGTCTTGCTTTTTCACATGTTTCCTTAATAATACATCAACCAGCCATATGTAAAAGATTTCCTAATAATAAACAATTATTCTAAGAAAACAATGTAAACAAGTCTAACAGGAATATAACATAGAAGAGTTGCATGAATAACATACTATCGTAGTTTTTCTTTAAAGAAAAAATCTATGGAACAAAGGGGTGCAACCTGTATATAGAATCTACCATAGTGAAGCTAAAAAGCAAATTTCTGAATATAACATTTGCCATTTTTTGAATGACACCCATGAGCCAAGTCAATTTGTGCAGCTATAAATGTTTAGCTCTACATTCACCAATACCTAGCTAGCATCATACCTAAGAATGCCAAACCGAAAAAAAATTACACATCAACACAGTCAAAATATACAAACAATTAAAATCATCACCAGCTCAATTAAGCTCTTTTTTTCTTTTATTATTAACAGCCATAGATTAGCTGCTATTTCCTTGAGCAATTGAAAAATCTTTTGAAGTTATACCCGGCGATAGCAGTAGGAACTTTTTATTTCAAATGAGCAATTGTTAGGAAGTTTTCAGATGTGACAATATCCAAAATCCACTATTTTCTTCTCTTCTTTCTGAGATTTATGAAAAGAACAAACCATAAAGGAAAGGAAAATAAACTAAAGCGCCAATCAGAAATCTATTGCAACGAGAAGTCACATAAACTCAATCAATGATATCGAAAGTGCACAACTAACGATCAGACATCAAACATTTTTCGATAGAAAGCTAGGAAAAAAACATATGGAAATCATCCGAAAGAAACCACAATAACCAGAGACTAAAAGTTGCAACAACAAAAAAATCTAATTTAACACTTCAAATGCTAAAAAAGCTACTACAAGAAAACACACCGGATAATCTTCCTGACATGCTCCGGGGGCATGTCCTCCTTCTGTGTCTCAACAAAACCGAACTTCCTCTTGTCTCCATAACGCTTAGAATTAAGCTGCATCCACTTCCTGGCCTTCTCCTCGAGCTTCGCCTCCGTCTCCTGTGGTGACGGTGCCGGCTGCGGCGGAGGATTTGGAGTAAGCACCGTATATGAGGGCTGCGCCGCTGGAGGAGGCGGTATAACCGACCCTCCGGTCCCTGGTGGAGCAAGCTGCTGACCTCCGTTGTTCCACATAGCTTTAGATTTCAATTCAATTCAGCACGTCGATAAGAAAGCCCCAAAGTGAAGACCAAATGGACATACAGACAATTTCGAAGTAAGCAAAAGTATGCCGAATCTCAGATGGCGGTTTCTAGGGTTTTTGGGGTTTAGGGTCCTTCCAGCTTTTCCCTCTTTCTCAGTCTCTCTTTCTCTCTCTCTCTCTCACTCGGGCTTGAGAGAGTGAAGGGACCAAATGGCGAAAATGTGGCTCTGCTTCCTCCTTTTATATCACCAGCTATCGGAGTCGAGAAGTGAGTAAATGGCGGTGTGATACATGATTGCCCTTACGCTGCTTCGTCTGGTAGAGTTATGGTTGTTCGAGGCCCAATTCAAGATGCAGTCATTTCTGAGAGAGCCCAATTCAGAGTTTCTAAATTCTAGCCGACTTATGGCAAAAATATTGAACATTTAATTTTTAATTTTTTTAATTTATTATGTATTAAAATATAATATCATACATAAGTTTTGTTTTTATAAATTTAACAGAAAATATTAATAATTTCACTCGTTTACATTTTTTTCTGGTTTTATCTATATATTAATAATTCCCATATTTTCTGAGAATTAAACTAATTTTTTTTATTAATTATTATGTAATTTTATTTATACTAAAAGTTATATATTATTAATTCCCATATTTTTTAATTTGATTATTAGTCACGTAACATAATAATATTATCAGTTTAAATTTTAAAAAGTTTAACGTATAGTAGACTTATATTAGACTTTTTAAAATAAAAATTAAAAAAAGTTTTTCAAATTTTTTTGTATATTTTTATTATTTTAGTTTTAATTTCTATGATATTTACTTATTAGCAATTATATTGCAATCTAAAATTGCTAAAAGATAGAAAACATGTATTGAATTTTTTTTTTTTTATAAAAAAAAATCCTAAATCATAAAGTACTAAGTTATTATATGCTCTAAAAATTATTATATATAATTAAAGTATTATGCAAATTTTATAATAGATTTGAATATTTTTTACGGTCGGGTATTAATTTTACGAATATAGTAACAAAATAATCTCACAAGGTTACATAAAACAGATACTACATAATTGTTCTCTGTATAAATAACCTAATATGATACTCAGCTACGATCATTTCTTATTTGATGTTTTATTCAATATCTTCATCAATGACATCCATAAAGTAATTAAAAATAGATTAGCTTAGCATATCAAAGATATGCTCGCTACAATAGAGAATTCTTTTTTCCTATTATGGATACTGAGAATTACCAGAATACCATATCAGAATTGATTGCTATCTTTAAATAAAAATTAAAATATACCACATACTAAAAGAAGCCCAAATTTCTGAGCCTATAGTAATTTAGGCAACGGTCATTTTCCTCGACACTTGAACACCAGTTAGGTTGTCTGGCATGCTCTTTAGACTCGATCACACCCAACTATGTGGCTCTCTGTTCCTGAATTAAGGAACTTCCTGCCAAAGCTGTAAAACTGACCAAAATAATTCTACATTAGGGTTGTAAAGTTCATCTTTGCATGAACAATGATGGACACAAATTCTTTTCTGCGGGAGTGGGATTTTAGCTCATACCCACATTTTTAAGACTACATGTTGATATCTACAGTATTACTATTTTATTTTTTTTCTTTTTCAATCGGATCACTTTGTATCTCGATCCCCTTTGGTTTCTTTGCTATCTATCTCGTTCGCTGGATTTTGATTCACCATAAATCTCCAGCTATCTCCTTCCTCTATTTCCCACTGTTTCTTCAGTTCATAAATGGCTTTTGATGCTGCAGTAGCAATTGCTGGATTGCTATCTTCTGCAAGTCTCTGTAAGAACAGAAAAAACATCAGTTTCCACACATCAAACGAAGATGAAATCTATTTCTTTCAGAAAACCCCACCAAATCTATTAGGTGTCCTTGATTTTGGATATAGTCATGACTAGGTCCATTATTCCAAAGCATCATGAACCTCCATTTAATTTTTAGAACGAACTTTTATAGGGCTTGAGAACGAGGAAGGAATAAGTAACCTGTAATGCTCCCATGCCGGCATTTCCGAGGGTCCACATGGATGGGGCTGCTGCCAAAGCATTTGCTAATGCTTGTCTAACAAAGAAAATCAAAGAAATAGCATACAAGTATATCACGATTTAGTTAAAAAGCTTCAAAATTTGTTCAAAGTCCCTTTACATGTGGGATTACCTTGTATATTAACCAATACATAGTCGAATGGCATACAAACATTCAGAAAGAATGCAAGAGAAGATGCAAACAGGAAAATGTTGGTTCAACTTCATATATTTAAAACGGCAACAAGGAAAAAATTGCAGATTTAGTCACTGATTTAGTAAGATCAATATGTCATATTTGTACAGATTCTGTCAGGCAAGTATTGGAGGGTAAATTCACCAACCATTTCCAAAAGACTACAGTGTGGCAATGTTGATAATTGATTGACAACAAATTAAACAGAGAGTCTTGCAGTGACCTATCTGGATAATCTAGATGTTCCACATGGCAGTTTTCCTGAATGAATCAATGATTATAAGGAAAATTATTTCAAATAAGTTGAAAATTTCTTGTAGGTAGAGTATTTAGTTCATAATTTTACGTCCGTTGGATGAACTCCTGAAATGAAAAACAGATAGAATGGCGTGCTATGACTAAATAGATTACCTAGTATTAACATCAGGAGAACTCGAACATTCAGCCAATAGTGAGGCACTACTTTTACCATCCATTGCATCAAGATCTATGAGTGTTCTAACTACCAATTCAAGCTGCTCAAGAACAGAAAGGAGCATGTAAATAAATGAATCAAGAATAATTTATCAACAGCTCCATCAGATAAAATACAAAGTCTTTGAACCTCTTCAGGATCAGTATAGTCAATTCCATCAGCTTCAGACAGTGCAGACGCCATACTCCAGTAAGCATCCTGTATGAAAAAAAAATGTAGAACAATGTTATGCTTCCAGATGAAAATTGATGGATGAAATAACTTAAGACAGCTGAGAGATAGGACCTGAATAGCAGTAATACGGTCAGTGGAGACTTCCCCAGGGAAGAAGTCAAGAGCTTTGCCATTTTTCTCAAGCATTATATGCTCCATCATGTCATTTGCTGATATAAGCCCTTTTTCTCTACGCAGAGGGCTAGATGCAACGGAAAATTCAAAACTTAAATATCTTGTATAAAAGAATAACAGAAGGCTAAGAGAAAAAAGAGCCGGCAGCTAGGCATGCCATAATGGTACAAACTTACAAGTCGTACATCTTCCTCACCATCATATCATGAATATTTTTAATAAACTGGGGCAATCATATAAAATGAAATAAAAGTCAACATTAGAACCATAACATTAAAAAGCATATGCTATTGAAATTGGAAACTTGTGATGAAAGAAGGGTCTGAAAAAGATCATTAATGAAGGTGAAAACCAGAGATAAACTTATAAAACTGTCCCTATCCAATGTGCAAATCATAAATGCAAGAATTGACTTACCTCCAAAGCCATTAATGAATCTTCCATGGCACGTTGCTTGGCACGGTAGTCAGCAAGACGTAGATCAGCCTGAAAAGAGATAATTTCTGCATGAGGATAAACTAGATTTCAACTGAAACAGGATTCAAACCAATTCTTTTTTTTTTTTTTAAAAATGGATTTTCAATTTCCTTGATCAGCCATGACGAAGAGCGACCATTTCCATTACTTAAAATACCAGAAGAAGTTCAGGTTTCAGCAATCTAATACATCTGACGTTTCAGAGTGACTTAAACTCAAAACTAAGACACTTTACCTCCAAAGCACCATCACTCCAATGCTTATCAGCAGCCCTTTTTAATCTAGACTGAGCTTTGTCTTTTAAGATCTACAAATGGACAGAAAGCGCATTAGACATTGAACTGTAGAGCACCCAGCGATGGATTTCATTGTGGCCAACAAACCAACAATCAATATGTATACACATACAGTAGCAATATGACGAAGACGCTCGGCCTTTTCCTTGACATCACGATCAATTTTCTCTGTGTCCTTTCTTGCTCGAGCTACTCAAGAGAAAATTAGCTTAGAGTCAGCATAGGGAAGATAGTGGCAGCGAGTTACAAAAAGCAAATGAGAGAGAATAAACTGTGTGGCCACCATTTAAAATGGAAAATAAATATGCTCCCATCTACTTGATTCAATCACCAAAACCATCAACATAATCCTCACTCTCCCCTCACCTTCAGAGAAAAAGAGAGAAAAATAGGCTGCAAAAAACAACTAAAAAGAAAATGTTGAAATCCTCTACTTCAGTGAAGTTGTAATTGCTGTACTAAACATGCAAAGTACACTTCGGATGATAAGGATTAAACTCACTTAACAGCAAAGTGGAAATTAACAAATTTATTGCAGTGTTCCATGAAATAGATAGCTGGCATTAAGAAATGAACAGAGAGGTATCTTACCATCAAGTTTAAGAAACCCTGAACCAAGAATAGCAACATCTTGACGTGCACGTGCATCCAGCCTCATTATGCCACTAAAAGAAATTAGAAAAGAATGAAAACAGAACTCTGAAAACAACAGGGATTTGAAAAGAAAAATAAATACCTTAAGAAACTAAGTGAACTTATGCGGGAAGCTTCTCTTGTAATACAAGAAATATCAAAATTTTCTAATCTTGTTTACTGTGGTTGACATAAGACATAACTTGTGGTCAGCCACGAACATGTGATCAACAATTTAGCAAAATGGAATCCCAAAACTAAAATTACAAAAGAACTGTTATATTGAGTCCTTAAACTTATTTCAAAAAATATATATTGAGTCCTTAAACTGTTGAAATATATGCATCGATTTTGATAAGAAAACACTTAATTCTTACTAGTGTTGCTTTGAGATAATATTTAAAACTAACAGTACAGCCAAGAAATAAAGCAGCTGGATGGAGCTGAAAAAGTGCTCATGAGCTGAAGGAAAAGAAGATGAAGACAAGAACATATAATCAAAGATCTCAAAGAAGATCTTCAAGAAGAAAGTAAAGAATTAAATCTCTTGGGTATCATCTCTTTAGAAGTTATATAATCTCATAATGGCTCAAGAAGAAAGCTCTTTTATATCAGATAACCAAAGCTTTCAAAAGATAAAAGTATTTGGAAGCATTTTATAAAATATATGTTCTTGAAACAAAAAGAAATCATGAATCACATTGAAAAATACTCTAATCTCACTCGAGTTATATCAATTTCAAGACTCCTAAATACATGCGTATTTGATTACTAGCAAAAAAAACAAAATTCAGAGTTTTCAAAAATGTCTCTCTAACAGCTAGTTTCCTGTCAAGTACATAAGTATCTTTCATCGACCCCATTTCAAAACGAGAGAGAAGAAGATTTCAAAACATAACATACTAAAAATCAATTTCAAAAATCTTATTTCTCCTTTTCCAGATACATAATGGATTATTTACTTTTGAAGAGAGAGCTTTAAGACAACTTTTGAAATCTGCTTTGGATTTTTATGATCTGTGTTTAAAATTGTTTACAAAGATGATTAAGAAATAAATTTAACAAAAATCTTTTCTTGAGACAAATCGAATAATTCTCAACTTCATGTTTTTATTAGATTTTTTTTCATGAAAGAATACTTGAGATTACTTTATAAAAAGATTCCGTAATGATTTTCTACTTGGTTTTAGAAAAAGACTACATTTGATGTCAAATGGGCATATCTATATTCTTCTTGAAAAGTAATGTGATAGTCTAGGATATCCTCACCATAATGTACTCTGATTAGAGACTATAAATATATTTTGCTGAAAATATACATTTAATATAGTGAGAAAGTCATTCGGACATGAAACTGTTATATGCTCTACTTAGAGAGCTTAGTGCCAAAGTATTTAATTGTAAATAGCTTACGCTTGTGCCAAAACAAAACAAGTATGAATTATTGCTTATGAGCAAAAACAAGATAGCCTAGCCAGGATCAAACAAGTACAGGCAGTTACTTGTGAGCCAGGAAAAACAAGACAGTTACTTGTGATCCGAAGACAAAACAAGTTATATATGATTGCTTGTGAGCCAGGGACAATCAGAACAGTTATCTATCTTTCGGAGACAGAACAATTTGTAAACGGTTAGCTAGCAAGCCATGTGTAAAACAAGCCCTTTTAGCAGAAGAAGTTATTAATGAAATTATCAAGTGATGACTTGATGAGAGGATGGAGGCACATGTTTTGGTCGAACCTCTATAAATCTTGCATGCATCCATCACTTCCCTTACTCCTTATTTTAATTATTGCTCAAGTGTTTTATTCTAGCTATTAATTTTGTTGACTTGGATTTAGCTGAGTTCTTGGAATACTTTAATCATCAGGATGCTCTCGAATATCCACACAATTCACTGGTATAGTGTTAAAATCAGGGATAAACAGATAACTACCATCAGTAAAGTATATCTCAGTCTGTAAAGCTTGGTACCAGATACATTAGTCATTTGAAATATTTTTAAACTCATGTAAGAACAAAGTTCTATCAATGCTATTGGATAGTGAACTGAAAGTGGTGATTTTATGAGATACAACAGAAAAATATTAGGAAAATAGAATAATCTTTCACTATGTTAGAGAGACATCCTACTGAGTGTTAAGTAATAGTGATATGAAATGCTCCTCAACATAATAAGATGGTGATCAGAAACTAAAGGTGTCCAACGAGTTGATTGTTTAAGACTCTTCTATTGCCAATGTTAATGCCTAAGAAAGAAAGATAAGCAAATAAGAAAATTTTGCAAACATCTAAGAAACACAATTCAGCTCCCTGTTGAGTTGCCACACTATCAAGGCCAACATTGACTAAATCATTAGAAAAAGAAGTACATAAAATTTACCGAGAAAGCAAGAAAATGTCGTTACGAGCCCTCTCATTCACATATTTCGCATCATTGCATACATATTTACAAGCTTCAGCTAAGCCCTCACTTGAATGAATAATTCTCACAGGCATGACTGGGTCCTCATTTTCCTCCCCTCTGGTTTGTGCACTGACAAACAGCAGTATAAATTAAAAAGAACATAAGAATCGTGTAATAACTAAATGGTGAAAACTGATCAACTAGTTTCAGCAGCCAATACACAGGTATGGAACTTATCTAATAGTACCCATTTATCTTACCTGGATATTTCTGAAGAATCACTATAACTTTTATCACATTCTTTTGCTTTACTTTTATGCGTCCTTGTCGATAAGCATGATGTCGAAGATCTCCGTGAAACCCAAAAACTAACTGGTTTTGCAAGCACTTTCCATAATCCATCACTGGAGAAGCTGGATTTTGCAGTCAAACGATATCTGTTGCGGGGATGATGAAGCACAACTTCAGGACTTGCAGGAGGTAAATTACTGTGTTTTGTTGCCTTGGCAAAAGAACACACAACTCCAGGAGACTGAGAGGTATCTATTCTCTTAGCCACCACAGGACCACTTGAAACCTGGCTTGCATTAAATGCCATGGTCAGAGGATCAAAATAGGAATGAGATGACGTCAGATAGCATCTTCTTTATGAGAGCATCTGGAAGCTGAGATGAAGATAGATCAAATTTGGTTCAGATACTTCTTATAAAATATGAAGAAGTAACATAAAGAAAATGAACGTAAGATAGAAGTTTTTAAGTCACAGACTATGGATGCAAAGGACACTATCGTTTCAAATAGTTTTAGTGGAAATATTCTAAAACGTGAGGAAAAACAGAGAAAGAAAACACTACTGAGGTTCAATATGAACTTTATGAGTAATAAAGACTGTATCTTCCAGTGTTTGAGGTCATTTTATAAGACAAATTCACAAACCATAACATTGCCCAAGGATGTTACCATAAGAACTAAAATATCATTTGATATGTAACATTGAATCATACTCGTCATATAGGATTCACAATCGAACTGATTCCATATTACTTGAATTCCTTGGATCTCAATCTTATTTCCTTTCTATATATCCACATTCCTACACAATAAAACTAACACTTTCTGACCAAATTCAAGCTACTACTTGCTCGCAAACTATCTCAATCACAGTGCGAATTCCAAGTATTCACTACCATTCAGTTTAATTTCCTCCTCATCATATTATAATAATAATACTAATAACAAGAGCATATTTAGGGATGTTTACTCGAATGAATTAAAAGCAAAGATTGATGAGTTTAGTCAGACTAAGATTTTAGCAGAAATTACCAGAGAGAAAACAGACAGAAACCCATCAAAATACAAGCATTAGGGAAGTTAAAAGTGAGTACAGAAATCAAGAAATGGAAAGAAACTGGTAATCAACCTTGGATTGGAGATAAAGCGAGAAAGAGAGAAGGAAGAAAAGAGGGATTTTTCTGTTGGGGAAGATGATTTGCAGCCACAAGCAGTGTGTGGTCCAGTGTGAGCCAACCCAATAGAAAACTAAGCTTTGGTTGCTGATGCGGTGACTGGCACCAGATGTTGTGGATGGGGATTGCCACGTGGCGCCTGGGATGTTCTCCTATGTACTGAATCCTCTCTTTTTCTCTTCGCACTCAAGCCGCCCTCTGTTTATCTCAAACAACCAACATGACTAAGAGCTGAAAAATATGTACTTTTATTTTTAAATTTCTGATAAAATAACTTTAATAAGTATCATTCCAGTAACTTCATGATACTAACTTCAGGAAATGGAAGGAGCAGATTACTACTGTGCTTGAATGCATACATATAGACAAGAAGAATCTCTAGCCCCTACTGCTAAATTCAATTTACTTCACTGCCCAGTAGATGAACTTGAGAAAAAGGAGATCTGCTTATCTAAATGACTATGTTCTTAAGAGTTCTATTGGCTTAAGTGTTTCATTTATTGTATCTTTTTAAATTGTTAAAAATAAGAAAAATTTTAAAAATCTAATTTATCCCCAGAGTGATAATAAATGTAACTCTTAAGAATATATTTTATGAACGAGCAAATAAAATTTTAAATATTACAAAAATAAAGGAGTTAGAGAGATAATACAACTATTATTTTTATGAAGGCTCGAGATAACAATCTTGCTTATACATCCTCTTTCAAGCTATTACTTTGAGTGTTTGACTAATCTTCAACATATTTTATAAGTGTTACTTTAGCTTCATTTTCTTAAAAGAATTTCCTCATCTTTCACAAGAGTTCCTTTTATGGGTGTTGAATTTACTAAAAATAAAATTTTTATTTAACTAACAAAACTTGATTATAGTAATGGTAAGTAGGATTGAGTTCACAGAGAATTGAAGACTAATTTTTTATATTAACTAACGAATGAAGAGTAAACCAGGGGTGAGGAAGAGGGTTTATAGAATTTAATACGTAAAATATAAAATAAACAAATAACAAAATAATATTAAACATGATTCTTGCCTGCAAGTTAGAGACTTAAGCAATTATAAAAAGAATTTCTATTCGATGAAATAATTTTTTATAGTAATGTAATTGATCATAGATGCAATAATTTACTTTATTTAAATTATAGCAAACTAGTGATATTTGTCGAAAACATTCTCACAACCAATCATTCTTTATTTATAAACCAACCAAAAACTGTTTATTAGTTGGTTCTTTATTGTCCAACAATTTTGGGAACGTCCATTTAACTTATCAACGGACTTGAGAAGTAGAAGAAACTAATTCAAGTTGTTGGATTCATCTGCATGAACCGGTTAACTAAATTACTTACCTCCTCAGTGCATTATTGATCGCTGCTAGGTGCCAGAACAACTCAAACAATTAAGGATTTGAATTGTTCGGCCAACTGCTTGCAGCTTCTGTACGTGTTCAAGGGGGTCTGTTCAAACGAATCAAAACAACAAATATATATAGCTACAAGAATTAAATAAATATTAAGGTTTAAATAAAACATGAATTAAATCAATTCAATATCATAAATACATCGTTGGAGTTCACCAAATCTCAATTAAAAAAAGAAAACAAATTAGCCACTCATAATGGTCTTGAATACAAAATGAGTCCTTGAAAATTAAAGAGAAGAAAAGAGATTAAAAGAGCTGAAAAGAGGGTGCAAGATATGCAGCTGCTGTTGGCAGTATCGAAAAAAAGAAGGATGTCGATTATGCTTGACAGTCGTCGCCTTCATAGCCAAATGGGAGCTAGGGTTTTTCTTTTCTTTCTTTTTTTGATTTTTTGGATCTCTTTCTTGATTTCAGCTTATCCTTAGCTTTCTAAAATGATCTTCTCATGATTTTTTGCCTTGGAATCTCAGCAGGGAGAATATCTTATCAGATTTTTTAAAAAATCTATCTTTTTTTTAAGTATTTTGCAGATCGCGACGCAAGTCTCAGGCGAATCTTATTTCTATTGCATGCGGGTCATTTAAACTTAAGCACTGCCTCGACCATGGTCAAGGCTTAGTTGAGTATGATTTGAGTCCCATCCTGCTGCCTTAGTTGCAAGTTGCGCTTAGGGCTAGTTGTGTTTACCCTTTCCTGCCGAGGCGTAAGCTTTGGGTAAGGGTTGTTTGTGTGGGCCAAAGTATGCAGTAACTGTGGGGTCTAAGATTTGCCCAAGGCTAAAATTGTGACAAATAGTTGTTTTGCAGTTCTTATTCTTGTTTTCTGCTGTTCCTTCATATCTTAAGCTCTATCTTCCGATCTGCATCAAAATAGATAAAATAACTTGACTAAATAGTAAATAATTTATTTTAAATACACAAAAGTAGATGATAAAGGTATTGTTTTTGCACCTTATCATCCTTTCTCTTTAAAAATAACTTTTTTTTCTTTCACAAAATTTGTGTTTTTCCAAAGCCAAAACTCCCCCATAAAGAATCTCTAATCCTTTCTTATAAGATCAAGAAAAAAAAATAAAAAGATTTATGATATATTCTCTCTTATAGAGTAGAACAAGGTGAAGTGTTTGGAAACTCAAAAACTATAATACAAAAGTAAAAGTACAAGCTTTTTATTCAAAAGTTTCATTTTTCTCTCTCTCTTAAAGATATAATAAATGTAGTATACATGAGTGACACTTATAGTGCAAGTTAAAAAGAATTATAACACACATTGGAAAAATAATTTTTGCTTTCTAAAATCCAAAATATAATTTCTAAAACTATCTTGGACATCGATGTGATGAAATTTTCATTACATCCAGAGTTACATACGTTTTTCACTCCTTAAGCAAATCATTCTGTATAATGAAGAGATTATTAAATCATTTCTTTCACTGCTTAGTTCAAAGGTATTCCCTATGATGAAGAGATCATCACATTACATGTACGAATTCCAAAAAAAAAAGAAATCCCCCCAAAATCTTATCATTTTCACTTTGTTTACAAGCATTATTTCGAAGACATCTTTCATGTAAAAACTCATATTTGAAAAATTATTTTCCTTTAGCCCTAACTTTTTATTTACATTTACAAGTATCACTAATTTCTTCAATGCCTTTTAGAACTTCTTAGTTCCTTCATTTTTCTTCAAACATGTATAAAATCTTCATACTCCTTGCTTTATTTCAAGAACTTGCTAATTAAAATCCTTCAAAAATTCATGAATAATTGTTATTTAAAGGTTGTCATCTATCAAAACTGAAGTTGTTAAAATGTCCCTTTTTTTGAATAGTAAAACTTAATTTCTTTTTAAGTTTTTAAAGAAGCGGAGCAAAATAAGAAATATAGAATAGAAAGGGTCCTTAGCTATGAATCTAGAAGTAACATCACTTTCTCTTACAAGCTAAATTGGAAATTTGGTGCAATCTTAAGAATTTTATTTTTTACTTAAGAAGTAGCAAAAGATCGTATTCTAACCCTTGACAACCTAACGAAAGAGGTATCACGATTGTTAACAGATGTTTCCTTTGAAAAAAAAAAAAACTTCGAAACTTACAACCACTACTCTTTGGCTGTGAAGTCTCACAACACCTTTAAAACACTATTCTTGGCCTAATGGGACAGTCTTGAGTCAGGAACAACAACATTTCAACTGAACTTTTTGCACGGGAAGGCTTTTGCAGCAAGAGAAAAAGCTTAAGACTCATCCCACTCACCATAAATATGGGTTCTTTGAAAGGAAAGAAACAACCGCGCTTTTAAAGAAATAGAAGTAGACGTTAACAAAATCATTGACAGTTGATTCTATTATTTTGATTCCACTACATTGGAGCATAACATCAACTGTTTAAATAATCTTGGTTTTGTCGTTGATAGTTTAATTGACATGTAAATACATTGTAAATGAGTTGTGTCCCCTGATACCTTCATATCAATACAAAACATACTTTTATTCAAAAAATATAGAAAGAAAAGGATCATCCCTACTTTTTGCTTTCATAATCCTTTTATCAAGAGATTTTTATTTGAAATAGTTTAACTATGAATTATATTCTGATAAAAAACATAAATATATGGTTAAATACTCCTCCACGTGAAGTATTAGTTTACTTACTTGTAAAGAAAAAAAAATTCAATTCAATTCCAATAAAACACTATCCATCACAATTGTTCTTGAATTTAAGAAGCATAAAATCACATACTAAATCAAGAGCATAAAATTACATTTCAAACTTCAAGAAGCATAAAATCACATTTTGAACTTCAAAGTCAGAGACATTGTAATTCAACAATATATCCTCTCCCTAAACCCAAGCATATTTTCTTCGTAAATAAAACAAAATAAAAAAAATCATACGATGGCATTAAAAATATCATTAAAAAATTTTAAATTTATTTTTAAGAATTTTTTTTACCTCATGTCACCTCATTGTAGCACGGTCGATCATAAAAAAAGATTTATGCATGTGATGTTTGAAGGCTTTATTGGGAGGTCTTTTCACCAACTCAACTTCATTAGTATAGACGATCTATGTTAAAGGATTGAAATTCAAGAAAGGATTGACACACTCAATAAATTGCCTTCGCCAACACCCTATTGGCAATAATTACAGTTATGGTCCCAAATACAACTATGAGGTTTCTTGGAGAGACATTTGCTATGATAAATATTTTATTGTTTTTATGGACACAATTAATAGTTGTAATAGCAATCCTAGTTCATAGATATGATGAACTAATATTCACATCCATAATATCCATGTTTAGGCATGCTACAGGTTTACTAATAATAACCAAAACAATGGACTATTTTGGTTTAATTCTTTATTCATCAAGACCTTAATAAATCACAGTTAGCTATCCATCTGTTTTTGTAAGCATATTTTCACTTAAATACTTCAATAATTTGATGTCTACATATTTTTTTAACTCACACAACTTTAGATGGTATGATCTTTTATTTTATGTTTGATGTTATTTATTTAAAGAATTTATTATATATATGACTCCAATGAATTTTTCTATTCAAATAATTCTTTTAATGTTACTTAATGCATATTGTATAAAATATTAGTTAAAATATGCATGAAAAAAATAAAAGTTCATTTATATTAAAAAAGGTATATATATATATATATATATATATATATATATATATATATACAATAGTTGATTGTAGAATCAAAGTGATGAAGATATTTTTTATTTAATATGATCATTCTTTTATAAAAATAAAACTAAAAGAATTGCAATGATTACTATCTAGTTAAATAAAAGAAGAAAGGAAATCTATTATTTTAGAAAATTAATGTTTCAATTTCTGTTAAATACTTTACTCTT